AAAGCTGAACTGCGGGAGCATGAGCATGTGGTGGAGTGCATCTCGTGGGCGCCAGAGAGCGCTTATCCCACCATACTCGATGCCACTGGTTCTGAGGTGAGGACCTGCTTGGATCTTAAATATCAGTAGGGATTATTGTATGGAAAAAAGATGAGCTCACTGCACAAGTGGGAAGTTATTTACACAACCTTTTGCTTGACACAATCGTATCCTTGTTTCTTGATTTAAAGGCTGGTTCATCAGGTAAGATGACGTTAAGTATTATTTGCTCGGTTTAAGTCATTGTAGTCTTTGCTCACACAAGCCTGTGTTGGATGTTGTCCAACTCGCGGGCTCTCGACTGGTATTCCCCTGAAATCGACATTTTCCATGGTCATGGTTAAATGGTCAATAAAGCATTCACTTGAACAGATTTCAAAACAAGATCATTTGTTTGGAGTCAAAAAAAAGAAAATAAATATGTATAATCCTTTAATTATTCAACATAATTACAAGTGCAACTTTCACGTCAGAGTATATCATTGGGGAACTCGGGGTGAGCATATTGGCAAAAAAAGATTGGCAAATTTTCTGTGTGTGTGTGGTGTGTGGTGTGTGGTGTGTGTGTGTGTGTGTGTGTGTGTGTGTGTGTGTGTGTTCGTTTGGTAGAAGATTACGATCCAGATGGATTTCGCATACATTTATTTTGTGCATCTATTTGACTAAACCTATACAAGCATACCAAATAATGAGTTACTTACCCTGCAGTGATTTTACCACATAGATTGATTTGTTTGTTTGTGTGTGTTTTGTCCAACCAGAGCAAGAAGAGTGGTAAGCCAGGCCCTTTCCTCCTGTCTGGCTCCAGAGACAAAACTATTAAGCTGTGGGATGTTAGCATAGGCATGTGCCTTATGACACTGGTGAGGTCTATTTCAAGCGCATAAATGTTTTCTATTTTTCTTTTCTTTCTTTCCTTCTTTCTGTATTTCGTTCTCTATTTCTTTCTGTCTTTCTCTCGTAAGTCAAACACAAGTTACTTCATTTGTGAATGCTGTCTTTTCTGTATCACAGGTCGGCCATGACAACTGGGTGCGTGGTCTCCTTTTCCACCCAGGAGGCAAGTTTATTGTGACCTGTGCAGATGACAAGACCTTAAGGATCTGGGACTACAAGAACAAGCGCTGCATGAAAACCCTGAGTGCCCACGAACACTTTGTTACCTCTTTGGGTAAGCACACCTGCCCTCCTATACCCTGACATTATGTCTTCAGCTGCTGTCCTTGCCAGTAGCTTATACCAATGTTCCCCAACCACCGTGGGGCCACGGGCCATTTTTGACCGCACCACACAGATGAAAGAATAAAAAATAAAACAAATTCAGTACTTCTGGTTTATTATTCAAGGCTGAAAAATATATTTTTTTGAAAAGTGACTGGATTCGCTCTGATTGAAGCATGTCAATATGCTATGGTAAATGTCTCTGTCGTGTAACGCACCGTTGGTCACCAGACTGATTGACGGTGTGTAAACTGTTTTGGACAATGGACGAGTACTCCTCCTCTTGTCCACTTGAAGCAAAGTGAAGTCACTCCCTCCTGCAAACAAACACGGTGAACACGTACGAGACATCCGGCGCATCATGATATTTCACATTCGGTCTGAAGTAGTATATTGGCGGGTTGCAGGAACCAAGTGGAAATGGACACATGAACAGAAATCGCGCACATGAGCAGGAACACATTACATCATTACACAGAATAATAATTCTCATGCTGTCATGCTCCTTAGGCAAGCATTTAGACCTCAGCATTTAGAAGGCCTCCCTTTCAAGTGAACGTTGCATTTTCCATGTGTTGCACTATAATTGATCATAAAGTTTGCATTTATTACCTATGATTGTCTATGTAAACGTCATGTAATGCACTTTTGTTGTGATCTTTGTTCATTTCAGATTTCCACAAGGCTGCTCCTTATGTGGTCACTGGGAGTGTAGATCAGACAGTAAAAGTGTGGGAGTGCCGCTGAGTAGGACCTCCAAAGATTGGACCAGCACCCCGACTACCCAGATGGTCTTCTGGATCCTCTCCCACCCACCCTGTCATTACAGCCCCGCCCCCAAACCCCCTCTCACCTAAGCTAAACTTCACCTGCACATCTTCATCTCCTTCGGCTGCACCTGCCACTATGGTTACTTACCCATTGCGCGCTCTCTGGTCTAATAATCTGCCCCCTCTGTGTAAATTATTCCTGGATGTAGATCAAGATATTAAATGTTACACAAAAAAAAAGTATTCTTGCATGGTAATCAAAACTTGTATACTGTAAATTTGCATAACGTCTAGAAGAACCATAGGTTTAACACAGGGCTGGCCGTCTGTCACGCAGCCTTACTGACCAACCGAAGGCAGATGTTTTTGATGTAGGGCACAAAAAAATAATTTAAGAAATGACAGTGTCTTTATGTGTAAGATTATTTTCGTCCATTTTTTTTAGAACTTTTTTTCCCTTCCCTCTCTTTCTCTCTCCGTTGCTGTCCTAGTCTGATGGTGCCTAGCTTGTTAAAACCGTTGAGCAATCAGGCAGAAAAAGCATATATGATGAGACTGTCTGTCGGCCTTTGTTATTGAAATAATCTGTAGCTTTATACCATCATTTCTTAAGTGTGCATACAATTTCTGTTCATGTGGAGCTTGCTCATATTTTAATGGTTGTATATACCATTTTTCCAACAGTTGTCTTTGGACCTCGGGGGAGGGTGAGTAGGGGGTGGATAAACTGCAGCTTTGACTCTTGTCATGGTGGCATATGAACAAATATTAGACTTTAGGTGAACCATCCTATTAAGAATAGCACCGCTGAGCTATTTGCTGACGTTTGGTGGAGGCTGTCGGTGTGCGTGCCTGAGTGGAGATCAGGGATTACACAATTTCTAATTTTGAGCACTAGATAAAAGATGCTGGGGGTGTCTCTTTTGTAAGATCGCTTCCTCTTACCTCCATTTACCCCTCAGCTCCCAGCAATTTTGCCCTGCTATGGTGTTTGTGTAATGTAGGAAGGATGTATAGACTAAAGATAAATAGTTGTCGCTTGGGGCCTGTAATGGCTACAAACATGAACTTTCTCTTACAAAAAGAGGAAAGGAAAAAGCATGAAGAGTCAACATGACTCCCAGGTTTGATACTTGGAATTTGCAACGATATCTTAATTTCTGACGGGTGAAAAAGATGTTCAGCTCAATAAAAATAAGTTAAATTGGTTTTCTGTGAAAATATGAAGTGTAAATTTAGCTAGTTAAGCCATTTGGCAGTTTTGTAATGTGTCAAAGGATGACCTGAATGAAAGTGGGGGTAGTTTTAGTCTCCTGAGAAATTGTTAGTTGCGGACATCCTAAGTGATCTGCTTCATATCTTCTCTGTAATATAAGCATCTCTACCGACAAACTCCCCAGACCATTTGACATGTTTCTGAGTGGGATTCTTCTCATGTTTAACTGGGAAGAACAGCGGATAGAATGGAATAAAAAATATACATAACCAACCATTACTTTCCCCTCGTATGAAATGAATGATCTAAGGCTATGGTTCATTTATCTTGCACACCCCCGTTTCCACCAAATCTTTGGACCTGTCATAATGATCCAAAACAAATTTACTGATGTTGATAATTGCTAAAACATATTTTCCAATTGAAGTTCTTGGCTTATAAAGAATTTGATTGCTTCAATAAATTCATTAGCTTCTTTGCTGCAGTTTTCTTTTCAACTGTGTACTGAATGTGGTGCTTTGGTGCTGAAGCTCCTGCTCGCGGTGTAAAACATGATCTGTTGATATATAGTGCTGCTGCATGGTTACCTACATCAGAGGCTGAGTTGTCTAAACACATTTAAAGGTACACAGTGGCTTAACTGAGACAGTAGTATGACTGGTGCTGAGAAGAGGATGGCCTAGTATGTTTAGACTACTCAATCCCTCTCTTGATGAATGGACTGTTTTTTTTTTTTTTTTTTTTTTGTGTGTGGCTCTTCCACCAACATCCCACCCCTCAACCCTACACATTCAAAGACAGTGAGTCAGACCAGGATGATCCAAAGGAGAAATCTCAATTTTAAAGGGAGTGTTACACCTATCCCTTAGGTATCTTCTGCCTGACTTGTAGTGGGAAAATAGTTGAATTTGGCATGAGAATGACAAAGTATTGTGTTCAAAGCTGATACCAAAAAAAGTCAATATAATCTGGTTTAACCAAGAAACCAGCCTCATTTGGTCCAGCATTGTGACCAATTTTAGAAAAATATGCTCGCACCCTCAGGGCCACACGAAGACATGTCAGGCCTTATTATACTATTCCTCCATTTGATTTTAAATGAAAGATGTTGAATAGAAGATTGATACGACATTTGGGAGCTCTTTTTCTAAGAATTTATGGATCAGAGCTGCTGCGTTGAATGCAAAGTTTCTCCTTTCCCAAGCAATCCTTTTGCTCTCTGGTCTGGCTTATGAGTGGCCTGACTGAGTTTTTGCTGTCTGTGTGTCATTTCTGCCTCAAGTCAACCAGTCCTCTCTAACATGCGTGTGAACCTCATTGAGGGCTTCAGACTGCACAACAAGCTCTTACTTGAGAGTTCATGATGTTTTCACTATTATGGTCTCACTCTTCACGCTACTGTTAATATACCTGGATGTCATTATTGTTTGCAATATAATAAAAACAAATTGCATTATTTGTGTAATTGTGTGTTTTTTGGTGGGTGTGCGATTCACTAGAGATGTTCTGGAACACGTCATAACTCGGAGGAAGAGTCGCATTTGATTTTATTCCGTAAAACGTTGAATTTTAAGTGGCACGCCGTGTAAAGTGGGTACTATCTAGTACAATAAGTAAAACGTAAGCTATCTAGTGCCCTATTACAACTGCGACAATGAAGGTAACTACACTATACAAAGAGGCGCAATAAAGCCATAAATGTTTGGGCGGCTCCGACGAGATTTTGCTGACATTGGCTTTAAGCTTGTGGAAAGGCTCAGCTGCGGCGCAGGGTAATGACGTCACACAAACAGGAAGAGAGCGAGTCAAGCTGGGAAACGTGTGGCCAACGCGAGCCTCTTGAGTTCAAGCAACTTGGCGTTCCCATAAGAAGAATTGCAAAAGGTATGTTGACATGAGAGTTGAGTTATGGTTGTCGATACGTATTTGATATGGTCTTGCTGAGTTCGTGTTTTCTGACGCGCCAAGCTGACATTGATGTGCAAAACGCACGTATTAATTTTTTCAAAAGCCGTCCACAGAGACAACGTTAACGGAACCTATCGACTCTTTAAAATTGAACGAACCTTGTCTTATCTTTAGTTTTGTGTATAGGAATCCTACCACCGGGCTGTTGTCATGTCTCTGAACAAGTCCATGCATCCCAGAAACCGCTACAAAGACAAAGCACCAGACTTTGCCTACCTGGCTTCCAAGTACCCAGAATTCCAAGAACATGTGCACACCAACCTGAGTGGACGGGCCGTGTAAGTATCAAATAATGTGTGCCAATTTAATGCGACGGAGACGATTCGCCCAGCTATTAAAGTAGAGTAAATGAACATAGTTGTAGCAGTGCAATCTGCGTGTGCATGTTTTAGGCTTTAATCGACAGCGCTCACAGTCATGCAAGAGCAAAATTGTACCAGCTGAATAAATAATGGAAACTAATCAGTAGAATCTGTGTTAGAGGTCTAATGCTTTGTGGACATAGCTGACAAATACACAAACACAGATTGCAGTATTAGAGCTAGTTGGCCATGAGACTATGTTTCTTCCTCTCCATGTGGCCCAAAGTGTGAGCATATGGCTGTAGACTGATAAACTGAGGTTGTGAAATGGCCACTCCATCATCACTGTCGTACTGGGTTTACAGGCAGACATGTAATTTTACTCCATGATTGCCCTGGATTTAGTTGTCGTTCGTTGTTGCATCACCAATTTACAGGCTGAAGAGCAAGCACTGGTTTGGTAAATGTGGTGTTTGTCGTTTGTTGGACAGTTCAACAAAGTGAAATGGTGATTTTAATCACAATCACTTTTGGAATGGACTCTATTTATTCACAGCCTTTTCCACCAAGCTCAAAATTGAGTTCAGGCACATCATGTTTCCACCGATCATCCTTGAGAGATTCCTACAATTTAATTGGAGTCCACCTGTGATAAATTCAGTTGATATGACATGATTTGGAAAGACACACACACACACCTGACATTGTAAGGTCTCACACTTGGCAGTGCATGTCAGAGAACAAACCAAGCATGAAGTCAAAGGAATTGTCTGCAAACCTCCGAGACAGGATTTTCTCGAGGCACAAATCCGGCAAAGGGTACAGAAATATTTCTGATGCTTTGAAGGTTCAAGTGAGGACAGTGGTCTCTATTATCTGTAAATGGATCAATAATGGATGAATCTGAACCAGCAGGACTTCAATGATTGAACTTTCTGGCATGAATGCCAGGTGTCATCATCTGACCAATACGATCCCTACAGTGAAGCATGGTGGTACTGCATCATGCTGTGTGTTTTTCATTAGGAGCAACTGAGCTAGTCTGGATTGAGGGAAAGATTAATGTCACAATGTACAAGTCCTCCTGGATGAAAACCTGCCCCAGAAGGGTCAGTACCTTAGACTGGGGCCGAGGTTTACCTTCCAACAGGACGACGACCCTAACCACACGGCCAAGCCACACGACTTCAGGACAACTCGATGAATGTCCTAAAGTGGGCCAGATGGAGCCCAGACTGGAATCTGATCGAACATCTCTGGAGGGATCTGAAAATGCTGTACACCTACGCTTCCCATCTAAACTGATGGAGCTTCGGGGGTGCTGCAAAGAGGAATGGGCAAAACTACCCAAAGAGAGGCGTGCCACGCTTGCGATAGCATATTCAACAAGACTTGAGGCTACTGCCAAAGGTTGTTGATGCACAAGTATTGCGCTAAAGGCTGTGAATGTTTACAGTACATGCATATGCTGTTTTTCTTTTTCAACAAAATTTCATGTTGGCATTTTGGAGTGTTGTGTGTGGAAATTGAGGGATGAGAAAAAATTGAGTTTTTGGATGAGGCTGTTGCATAACAAAAAGGGAAACGCTGTGAATGCTTTCTTGAATGCGCTGTAAATAGTAACCCTCTGTCTTCACAGCATCATCTTATTTTCCAAATGGCCCATATTTTTCTAACATGCACGAGAACCATCACGTCATCTTGAAATTATTCATTGCTTTTTTGCCTCACAGTTGATGTGTGCCATCGCAGATGCACTCTGAGCGGTACCTTGAAAGTCACCTTGTTCACTATGTATACTAAAACATGTCAACAAATTGTCTCCAGCAGCAAATTGTGTCACTTGATCACTTTATTCATAGAGCTGTTTTGGCCCAAGTCGTTTCCTCTCCGCTGCGAAGAATGAGCACGTAAGCTCACTGCCGTAAACCCACGTGACATTGTAGACGTCAAGCGTGGGTACGCTCATGCTCAGTCTGGCGCCGGCCATTGCTCCAACGTGGCCGAGCTTGCGTGCTCTCCCATCATTTGTTCGGTAGATGGGGTTGCCATAGAGATGCCGCTTGCAGCGCTGCTCGTCCTCTTTAATAGTGCGCGCACACGCACTCACACATTCACACCTCAAGGCTAAAAATAGAGGTCTGGCCTGAGCAGCCCTGCTGCCTGAATATTGATCTTTTTCTAATGATGCCTCTGAGGAAGAAGGAACGTCAGAAGATCTGAGACAGTGCAACTGCTTTGTTTTGTTTTTTGTCGTCCACTCTTTCATTGTGCTTTGTAGCATCACCATCATGCTATGGATTTAAAACCCAAATAATAATAAAAATAAATAAAGTGGCTCGTTGCTTCTCCTTGGTCATGGGTTTCATGAGTTTGGAATGTACGTCTTGCAATAAATGGGGGGTTTGTCGTAAAATAAAACTAAAAGTTACACCGTAGTCATAAATGCAGTAAGTACAGTACTTGAATAGATTAAAAAAAAAAAACACTTCCAGACCATCAATACAAAATGGGGGGAAGGGGGCGGGGGTGTCCAACCACCATTTTTAGTGAAAAATGTACATTGGCGGTTCATAAGTGTCTTGGGGGGCGGGGGGAGCATTTTAATGGCCATCAGTTTTGCATGAATTTCTGCCATTTGTGGGCTAGTGTAAAAATTGTGCTCCTCTCCTGTCATTTAAATTGCCCATCCCTGATGTAGTTGGTATTTGCATCTCTTTCACTCGTGGTTTTGTTTTTTTTTTCCTCCCTTGTAATCCATTGAAAACTGCCCATGTTGAATGGTTTGCGTGCCAGACGCTGTCAGCCCTGGGATGTGTCTAATTACATCTGCCAAGCTGCAAAAAACCATTTGGCAAAGCTTCAATTATGAGCGTCTCAGTGTCTGCTGCCACCGCGTCTGCTTATATGACAGCTGCAGCAGTTCAAACTACAGCGATGAACATTTGGGGCCTAGGCAAATAAAGTGTGAGGTCCTAATTGTGTGGAAAATGTGAATTTCATTGTCTTCAACTGTGGATTGCAAATTAATGAGCTGCTTATCTATGGTGTGTGGCGGGAGGTGGAGGGGTAGCATGGGGTTTGAGGGGTAATTAGGTGTTGCTGCAGAGTTGACACAGAACGATCAGCACCCTTCATTACACTTAACGTGTTCTTCCCCCACACCTTGCTTTAAATCAGGGGTGAGGAACCCTGGTTCCTCGAGTGCCATATCCTGCCTGTTTTAGATCTCTCTTTACTTCAACACACCTGATTCAAACAATCAGCTCACCAGAAAGCTGTGTGGGAATTGAATCAAGTGTTTTTGTCCATTTTAATGTACAGCCATTTTTCCACTTGTTGTCGAATGAAAATGAAATCATAGTTGCTCAGGGCAGACACATACCAATCACGCCTCACCTGTTTACTGAAGATTAGCCCTGTAATGTTAATTAGAACATAAACCTTCAACGGCATCTTGTTCTCTTGTGTACCTTTTAGAGTGAATTTCAAGGAGCCAGAGGCCGTGCGAGCTCTGACCTGCACCCTTCTGAAGGAGGACTTTGGTTTGAGCATCGAGATCCCTCTGGAGCGCCTCATACCCACGGTCCCGCTACGCCTCAACTACATCCACTGGGTGGAGGATCTCATCGATGGCCAGAAGCAACCGCGTAGAGGCATTGACATCGGTAGCCGAAACATTCTAATAGTCTGCGGCTCAGTCCTAATCACACGGATCTGATTTATTGTTATTGTTGGTTTATATTGTATTGAATAATATTGTAACATTGCCTCATAATCAGAATTTATCATTCCCAAGAGATTTTTTTGATTATTGATTTATTTTTATTTTTTGAGGCACTGGTGCATCTTGTATCTACCCGTTGCTGGGAGCCTCAATGAACGGCTGGTACTTCCTTGCAACCGAAGTGGATGATATATGCTTTGACTACGCTACCAGGAACGTGGAGCAGAACCATTTGTCTGACCTGGTTAAAGGTAAGTTTGCAATTTGCAACATTTCAACAATGCCACTGCTTAGTTGCTTGTCAGTGTTTAGAGATGGCTGCAGTTCATTCTGAAATCCAATAAATTGTTTTTGGCAACTGAGAGAAACAACAGCAAATTGGAAGAAAATATAGCTATTAATTTTAATTATGCTTGCAGTATGGACTTTTCTAATAACTCTAAGCACTACGTGAAAATAATTGATGTGTCCATGTTAATCCGTAATCCAGTTGTCCTAAAAGACACGCGATAGAAAATGGATGGATGGCATGCCAGTTCATGTTATATTTTAGTTAGTTTGTTGATCTGTGTGTGTGTGTGTGTGTGTGTGTGTGAGTGTGTGTGTGTGTGTGTGTGTGTGTGTGTGTGTTAGGAGAGGCAACTTGAACCCGGATATATAGCATTGTATCTATTGTCACATTAATTTATCAATGTCAGATTTGATTTGAGGGGCAATTTGTAGCATTGCTAATTGAGCATTGTTGTTATTTTGTCTACCGCAGTGGTCAAAGTTCCCCAGAAGACTCTACTGATGGACGCTTTGAAAGAAGAGACGGAAATTGTGTATGACTTTTGCATGTGCAACCCTCCTTTTTTTGCTAACCAGCTTGAAGCCAAGGTGAATCTTCTCTCATTTTCAACTGATTTACAAGCAGCGGGATGAACATTTAGAAATCCCAATGTTCGCTGCGTGGCTGTCTGAAGCAATATTTGTTTACACAGATAGTAACAGACATTTAATAGGATTGGATCTTAATCTCTGTCTGTCTTGCTGCTCGCTGCAGGGGGTCAATTCAAGGAACGCACGGCGACCTCCTCCCAGCTCGGTGAACACGGGTGGGGTGACAGAAATCATGGCGGAGGGCGGCGAACTGGAGTTTGTTAAGAGGATCATTCATGACAGCCTGCAGCTCAAGAAACGCTTGAGGTGAGGAACAAAGACAACTTCACCTTCAGGGATAGTGGTAATCAAACCAAACGTGTCAAAATATGAAGCCAAATTGTCACTGAGAGTGTTAAAAATGTCTGAAGTGGCAGATGGATTCTGACTTTTTCGAGAGGTTCTGAGAGGTTGAAATGCATCCTGAGAGTGGGGAAGTGGGGCAGTGGGCAAATTATGGTTGCGCGCACATTGATGGAGCTGTCACGTATAGTCACTTTAATGATTTTGGCAGACAATCACCCTACGCAATCACCCCACAGGGAGCATGTGTGTTTGGGTGGGTACCACTTTAGCAGCCCCTCCCTCATCACAGTGCTGTCACCAGGGCAGCAGAGTGAGAGGGTGCTGCAGCAAGGGACTATTAAAACAAATTAGACATGCCACACCGGTGTGTCCCAGAAAGACGGATGTTAACACCTGCCTGCTCTTGTGTCACGGTGATGCATGTTTACAGGTGTGTGAGAGAGAGAGAGGGAGAGCATGAAAATGATTCCTTCTTTTCAAGGATTGGCATTTGGCCCAATCCAACCGCAGCCGGCTGTCACTCCCAACCAGAAATAATGCTGGGACAAAAGAGCCTGCAGGTGTCCATGGCAACACTGCCAGCTTCACCAATTGGTCCTTTGAGACTCACCACCACCCACCCTCCTTTCTCCCCCTCTTCATTTTATTTCTGTGTTATAGGGGCAAGCCCTTTTTGCGCCCAATACCGCACGTGCAAATGCATTCTTCAAAGAATAAGATAATGATCTGCATTTATCATGCCATTGGTATGAAGATTTTCTTCTCTGGTAAAAATATTTGCACTTGGAAAAACAGCATGAATGTGATCAGCATCATTTAGCAGCTGCACACTCAAAGTTGACTGAAAAGCCACATTGGCGGCGTTTGGCTGTTGCTCCCCGCTGTGGGAAACATCTGTCACTGTCAGAGCTGTTCAATATTTCATTGTGTCAACTAATGCGGACATGTCACAACTAACCTACTCTGCCTCAATCAGCTCAGCATTTTCATACTCAAATTGCCTTTATGACCTCCAAATATATCTCTGTTATAGCGGCATGCGGCAATCCTCTGATAATTCACTGTTTTAAGAATTGGGTTTAAAAATTAGGGGGGGGGACAAAGAACGTTCTCAAGTACACTGAAACGGACACCGCTTCTTGCTCAAACGTAAGAAATTAAGGAACAGTACCGTTTTTTATTGTAGCATTATTCTGTACTTGGGGACACATTTCAAAACTATTCTATTTAATATTGCTATAAAATGCCATATTTGTTCGAAACTCGTCCAAATCAAGATCTTACCCATTAAAATAAAGCAACTGGTGCCTTCTCCATGCAGTTGTGGAAATGAACTTCCCCTGCCCATGAAATGCAGATGTTACAATATTCTCTGGCTTAAATTGTTTTGTGAAATTGTGATTGCTTTGTTTATACTCACATTTAAAAATACCTGAAAGACAGGAGGTGCAACATGTGTGTGGCCTAGCAGGCCTCTTGAATGTTTACTGTTGTCATTTATAGACAGCCCCCTACGAGTCACATGCCTCATGATAAATCAGTGTGCATTTTGTAATACTGCCGACACTTCCCAGACCCTGTATTGTGGGAAGGTTGCCTGAAAGTGTTGTTAAGAATAGTATTTCCACTGTGGGTTTCTCACGTCTTGCATCTTTTCCGCTTGTTCGGATCTATGCTTAGTAGTCGACCGCTAATGTGCTCAACAGGTTAATGTGGATGCTTGTTTCTGCAGGTGGTACAGTTGCATGCTGGGAAAGAAATGTAGCTTGGCCCCGCTGAAGGAGGAGCTTAGGAAGCAAGGGGTGAGTGGCCCATCGGAGTCAACATGCCATTGGCGTGTACTGTGCTACAAGAGCTGAATCTTACAAAGCAGTTAAACTTAACAGTCGTTTCTGCCAGGGGAGCAGACACCCAAAATGGATATGCTGTGTCTAACATTCCAACCAAAAATTGGTACAAGCGGGCCATGCGCCGATTTCTGTTAGCAGCGCATGACTGCCTCACAAGGCGTTGTGCAGCTAAACAGCCACGAGTGTCATTAGCTGGAACTAATAGCCCAGCTCGTGACTCCTGGCTGGATCACGCCTATAGTCCCGTGCTCGTCGCTTCTCTCACATGCTTGAAAGAGCAAGACATCCAGTCCTATGGTTTGCTGCACCTGCACCCTCGTGGGGATCTAGACTGCTACGGCTGCTCATCAACAAGAGTGCATCTTTGGCAAGCATCCAGAGAGCAGGCATGTTATCCAAATGAAAGGGGGGTGTAATAAAAAAAATTGGGGCATAGCTAAGATGCTAATAGATATTTTCTTTTGGAGTAGCCATGTCTGTCGGCATATGCTTTTCAAGGAGGCATTGATTTTTTTTTTTCACATTCCAGTTATCAGATGTCTGAGACATGCCTTTGTCAAAATTTCTTAATATTCTAGAACACTTTACAACCCCAATTTCATGTCTTGCTGATATTAGCCTGTTTGATTGGGCAGCCCAATCTCATGTGAGCAACCGTACGCCCCACCCAGTACACTGCTGAAGCCCTGGCGTTGCAACTAGAGCGGCTCTGACTTGCCGTGCAGAGCCCACAGTGTGGAAAAAAGTAAGCGCTCATAAAGACAATAAAAACATCTTTACTCTTTCTTGGCCAAAGTCAACTGGGATAAGCTTCAGTTCACCCCTAACCCCAATGAGGACAAGAGCTATAAAAAAAAAAATAGATGAATGAAGTTGTCTCGTAAAAACCAGCATGAGTATATAGACCACTGTAATTAATTAGTTTTTATTTTTTTCCCCCAGGTACCCAAAATGACGCACACAGAGTTTTGCCAGGGGCGCACCATGCGGTGGGCGCTGGCCTGGAGCTTCTATGATGATGTCCTTGTTCCGGTAAGTCTTTTTGCAGGCCACGGGTGGGCCACTTTAATGCTCGAGCTTGTCTCCGCCTGCTGGTTAGCCAGTCCAACACCCAGAATCCATCTACTCAATAATGTACCTCCTCCATCCTCCCCCCCTTAACAACATCTTTCAATCTTCCATCACACACTCTTGTTCCTCCTCCAGGGTGAGCTTTATACGGTTTTAGTTTAGCGGTGACCTGGCAACAGTTGCCAGGGTATAAGAAATGTGCACGCACACTGGCTTTTGTGATTGTGTGGACTGTGAAAGTGTTGGAGAAAACATAACAATAAACCGTATTAGTCAACAGGAATGGTGTTCATGTGTGTGTGCTAGAGGAAAAACAACTGGAAGTGGCTGGTCAGTAGATGCATGAGCTCTGTGTTGTTGGACCCGGCTATTTTAGCCTTTCCGGTATCAAATCAGTTGAGCAGAAGGATTGCCCTATATTTCTTTTCCTGTGATGCTCCTTTGCCTCGTCTTGCCTTCACGCGCATGTGTGTTGTTTTGACAGAGGCTTCTGCATGCACAGAAAGCAATGCATGGCTGACTCATTCAGCCCAGATGCATGTCTTCCTATGGATGTCAGCTATACGTGCATGTGCATGAGGCAGGCTCATTAATGTTACATGTGGTCTTAACACATACGTGGCGCGCATGCAACTGTGACCTACTTCGCCCTTTTACTACCAGGTCAATTCCAAATGTAATATACTGCTATAGACCAGTATACACATAACCATTTTATCCAGAGTTACAAAAAAACAATTAGCAAAATAGGGACCTGAGTGAGTAAAGCACCGAGATACACTGGTAAGGAGTTTTACAATTTCCCTGTGCTTGCGTACTGTTTCGAATGAGAAATGCTGCAAAGAAGAAGAAGAAAAACCTTTATTTGTCTCACAATGGAGAAATTCGCAAATGCTAACACACTAACAATTGTTATGCTGACATATAGCTTAGGTGCAGAAAGTCAGAGCAAGCGCATGGCAGGTGACATAGCAAGATGTCTGTCTTGGTACAAAAAGCGCTAATTGGCCATAAAGCAAGCGTCACCAACGGGCATGCGGGCACATGAGCCCTGTTCTAAAAATAGCTCAACATTGATGGGGCAATGTGATTTCCTCAAAATGCTACAATCATTGTTTGAATATTGGAACACTGGCAGAGATATATTGAATCAAAGTGTTACACATAAGGCTTGTCTCGTTCTAATGTGTTGGGTAGATTGCTTGCGTGCCTGTGTGTGGTGGGGTTAAAAAATATGGAATGCAAAGAATCTTTATTAAAACCGACAGATCAGAGAAGGCCCATTGTGAAGCCCCTAATTAATCATGGGAACATTTTGTAACTGTGTCTTCTGGGAACGTAAATTACTTAAAACCAAGTGCAATTATATTTAAATACAAGAGCAGGGACAATGTGGTGCCCTCCTACCGGCTGTAACATTTGGAACCTCTGCACAATCAGATTTCTTTTGAAACAAAAAAATAATAATAATAATGCTGTCTTTGAGTATTATTCAAGCATTGCTTATTATTGTAGCTGGTCGTGGTGGAGGACTACACTGCCTCAGACATGCTTCTAATTCTCCTGTCTGTAAACAATTGTGCTCTCGAGGACCACTAATACATCTTTCATTGACATTAAGAATGGCAATTACACACACAAAGTCATCAGGCATACGATAGAGACCCTGAGGTGTGCAAACTTGACTCTCATAACGGCAGCAACCCGTGAAGGTCACAGCCCACTCCTTCCCCGCTGCTGTTTGTAGGTCAGTCGGCCATACTGTCTGCTCTGTCACTGCAGACCCTGCGCCAGCTTGCAGAGCCCTTGTGAGTGACATGGAACGCACAGGCGCTGGCATGCGGGTGTGCAGGGAAGCGTTGCAGCACTAGTCATGTTGTCCCCAGATACGGTTGGCGAATGACCTCCAGCGCCATTGCAGTTTGACTTCAGAGGACAAGAGTAAGGAGCATTATTACAAGGCTCTGCAGGTCCAGCCGATGTGTTCACAGCTCCCTCTTGTGTCCATGAATCCAGTCATCCATTTTCTCACAACCACCACAGACATTCACTGCATTATGCTCACAGTAATAATGGTCCTTATGTCACACGAACATTTTATATTCAGATCAAAGAAACGAGGCACCGAGTGTACATGAAGTCAAATTACATTAAATTCCTGGACTCAAAATGCAGTGGAATATCTGACTTCAAATGGACTTTTTTTAGGATGCTGGTTGACCTCAAAATTGTTGAGATGGTAAGAAATAAGAATAATAAGAAAAATTTGTTTTGCAATATCTTTATATATTGTCAACTAAGCTGTATTACACTTAGCAGTAGATGTCATGGCGGAGGTGCGTGTACAATTTACAAACATGTACCATAAAATAAGTTACGTTTCTAAGGCAGTCATCCCATTTTTACATCGCACATGCATGACTGATTCAGGGGCATAAGTAGAAAAAAATAATAAAATCAACATTTAACTGTAATTAGGTTAACTGTGGCGACTGCAAATTATGCAGTCGCCTGTGCACTGGAATTACGAATATGGGCAACATAATGGCTCACCGGTGTAGTCATCACTAGATGAAGTGCAAACGTGTGGATTCCCCGAAATACTTCAATTTCAATGAGAGCATCAGTAAAAACTTTACCCCACTTCTCTCTTTGTGATTTCCTCCTGCGGCCTGCGTCAGTCTCCCCCCAGTAAGAAGCGCAAGTTGGACAGAGTGCGGAAACCTCTTTCCTTCACCCTTCCCCACGTGGCTTTGAGGGAGCTCCAGATGAAGTCCCGTGGTCTGGACTGCACTGGCCGCCATCCTCTGGAAGCCATCACAACTCTTATGGAGAAGGCGCTAACGGAGCTGCGGGTCAGTTGTTCTTTCGTTTGAGCAGGCTGTTCTATTAAGTTTGGGGACTAAATTACACAGAAACTCCGATTTGAACATGGTTAAATAGCCACCCAATTTGTTTTAAATGCTTGTCCTCAGTAGGGACGCCGATGATCTGGATCCTATCTCAGGTGAGAGGCGGGCTACACCATGATCTGTTCCGGACTGAGCAGCCATTCACAGGGCACCTATGCACAAACAACCATTCGCACTGCCGCTTCCAAGTTACACCGACAGACAATTTGGAGTCCGCAATGAACTTGACATTACTTTCGGAATGTGGGAGGAAGCCAGTGTGTGCAGGGAAAATCCGTGCAAACTCAGCACAGGATGACCCGTACTGACGTTTGAACCGACATTTTAACCCAGGACCTCAGCACTCTTGAGGCAAATATGCTTACCGATACTTCACCATGCTTCCCATATAAACCATATTTCGGAAAGTCTATAAGGCCAAATTGGATGTTTTGCTTTTTTTAGTAGTTGGGCTGTAGAATAACAAATAATTGTTGACTAAAGCTTGCAAAATGTAAAATGACTGATGGGGATAAAATGTCAAAATTGGCAGAGGGCTGCAACACTTTCGGTTGTACTAGTTTATTACTAAAGCCAGATGGTCTCAAGAAAAAATTCCTACCAGTCTTCCGAATAAAAATAGATCCTTGAATCCAGTGAAAATACATCTTGTTTCTTCTTCTTGCAGGTGCTGCACAAGCGCGTTCCGTGCAGGGAGCAGGAGCAGCGCCTCCTCCTGACCGCGGTGGAAAACACTTGGATCCACGGTCGACAGAAGCGACGCGAACAAATGCGGCAGTTGCGAGAGCTGCCAAGAGCACATCACAGCACCGCGGCTGCCGCCACGACGCCCTCCCTCGCCCAAAACAGCCAGGAGGATGCCACTCATGAGTCAGCTGACCAGCAGGTAACTGCAGAGTCGATTGGCAACAGTGCCCCATCCGTCGAAAGCATGAAGGCTACCAAGGCCGCTGGTGAAATGAATCAAGAGCTCCTGGAAAAGGTTGCAGGTGAAGATGGGGAAATAATGCCTGAGTGCAGCTCTGCAGGGACATGTGGCCTGAAGGATGCCACTAGTGCCACAAGCGAGATGTCATCAAAACAACCAGCGAGCCCGGGGTCAGTGGAACACTTCCTGTTTAAATGTATGCTGAATGTGCTGCAGGAGGAGGGCGACGCAATGATTGAGATGCACTGGGTGGAAGGTCAGAATAAAGATCTGATGAACCAGCTGTGCACCTATCTGAGGAACACTCTTTTAAAGGCTGTTGCCAAATCATGAACAGAGAGAGCCGCAGTAGAGATCATGGATACAAAACTTGTATCTGAGATGATTTTGGCATGTTGAAACAATTGCAGCCCACAGTTTTGTACGTGAACCAGTGTGAGTCAGTGATTTAAATTTGTTGGACTTGACAGTTTACCTTTTTAGGTAATCACTGCTACTCATTTTATTTGACTTTATTGCCAAGCAGTGGGAATAAATGTGATTTTATAAAATGTCGGCTGCTCCGTGATGCTTTTCAGGATTTACACATGGATTACTATTCTCTTGGTTTTGATTAAAAAATAAAAACATGAATACGGGGTTAAGCGTTGGACCCAAAAATAAATGTACTATATCTTAAACATGAGTATGATTTATGTTGAACATTGCCCTTAGTTTTTCAGGAAATATATTCCTGACAGGTAGCACACTAAGTTTGTGATTGACACGTGTGCCTCACATCTCTGAGGTTGACCGTTTGAATCTTGCGTCTGATCTTGTGTACATGTGAGCATATTTTGTTCCTTGTGGTTGGGTGGGTCTTCTCTTGCTTCCTCGCACGTTCCAAAACCATGTTAGGTTAATTGAAAAGGCTGAAGTGTAGAGGTGTGAGTGTGAATGTTTGTCTACTACGTGCCCTGGGATTGACTGGAAAATAAAAAAAAAAATAGATGAATGAAGTTGTCTCGTAAAAACCAGCATGAGTATATAGACCACTGTAATTAATTAGTTTTTATTTTTTTCCCCCAGGTACCCAAAATGACGCACACAGAGTTTTGCCAGGGGCGCACCATGCGGTGGGCGCTGGCCTGGAGCTTCTATGATGATGTCCTTGTTCCGGTAAGTCTTTTTGCAGGCCACGGGTGGGCCACTTTAATGCTCGAGCTTGTCTCCGCCTGCTGGTTAGCCAGTCCAACACCCAGAATCCATCTACTCAATAATGTACCTCCTCCATCCTCCCCCCCTTAACAACATCTTTCAATCTTCCATCACACACTCTTGTTCCTCCTCCAGGGTGAGCTTTATACGGTTTTAGTTTAGCGGTGACCTGGCAACAGTTGCCAGGGTATAAGAAATGTGCACGCACACTGGCTTTTGTGATTGTGTGGACTGTGAAAGTGTTGGAGAAAACATAACAATAAACCGTATTAGTCAACAGGAATGGTGTTCATGTGTGTGTGCTAGAGGAAAAACAACTGGAAGTGGCTGCTCAGTAGATGCATGAGCTCTGTGTTGTTGGACCCGGCTATTTTAGCCTTTCCGGTATCAAATCAGTTGAGCAGAAGGATTGCCCTATATTTCTTTTCCTGTGATGCTCCTTTGCCTCGTCTTGCCTTCACGCGCATGTGTGTTGTTTTGACAGAGGCTTCTGCATGCACAGAAAGCAATGCATGGCTGACTCATTCAGCCCAGATGCATGTCTTCCTATGGATGTCAGCTATACGTGCATGTGCATGAGGCAGGCTCATTAATGTTACATGTGGTCTTAACACATACGTGGCGCGCATGCAACTGTGACCTACTTCGCCCTTTTACTACCAGGTCAATTCCAAATGTAATATACTGCTATAGACCAGTATACACATAACCATTTTATCCAGAGTTACAAAAAAACAATTAGCAAAATAGGGACCTGAGTGAGTAAAGCACCGAGATACACTGGTAAGGAGTTTTACAATTTCCCTGTGCTTGCGTACTGTTTCGAATGAGAAATGCTGCAAAGAAGAAGAAGAAAAACCTTTATTTGTCTCACAATGGAGAAATTCGCAAATGCTAACACACTAACAATTGTTATGCTGACATATAGCTTAGGTGCAGAAAGTCAGAGCAAGCGCATGGCAGGTGACATAGCAAGATGTCTGTCTTGGTACAAAAAGCGCTAATTGGCCATAAAGCAAGCGTCACCAACGGGCATGCGGGCACATGAGCCCTGTTCTAAAAATAGCTCAACATTGATGGGGCAATGTGATTTCCTCAAAATGCTACAATCATTGTTTGAATATTGGAACACTGGCAGAGATATATTGAATCAAAGTGTTACACATAAGGCTTGTCTCGTTCTAATGTGTTGGGTAGATTGCTTGCGTGCCTGTGTGTGGTGGGGTTAAAAAATATGGAATGCAAAGAATCTTTATTAAAACCGACAGATCAGAGAAGGCCCATTGTGAAGCCCCTAATTAATCATGGGAACATTTTGTAACTGTGTCTTCTGGGAACGTAAATTACTTAAAACCAAGTGCAATTATATTTAAATACAAGAGCAGGGACAATGTGGTGCCCTCCTACCGGCTGTAACATTTGGAACCTCTGCACAATCAGATTTCTTTTGAAACAAAAAAATAATAATAATAATGCTGTCTTTGAGTATTATTCAAGCATTGCTTATTATTGTAGCTGGTCGTGGTGGAGGACTACACTGCCTCAGACATGCTTCTAATTCTCCTGTCTGTAAACAATTGTGCTCTCGAGGACCACTAATACATCTTTCATTGACATTAAGAATGGCAATTACACACACAAAGTCATCAGGCATACGATAGAGACCCTGAGGTGTGCAAACTTGACTCTCATAACGGCAGCAACCCGTGAAGGTCACAGCCCACTCCTTCCCCGCTGCTGTTTGTAGGTCAGTCGGCCATACTGTCTGCTCTGTCACTGCAGACCCTGCGCCAGCTTGCAGAGCCCTTGTGAGTGACATGGAACGCACAGGCGCTGGCATGCGGGTGTGCAGGGAAGCGTTGCAGCACTAGTCATGTTGTCCCCAGATACGGTTGGCGAATGACCTCCAGCGCCATTGCAGTTTGACTTCAGAGGACAAGAGTAAGGAGCATTATTACAAGGCTCTGCAGGTCCAGCCGATGTGTTCACAGCTCCCTCTTGTGTCCATGAATCCAGTCATCCATTTTCTCACAACCACCACAGACATTCACTGCATTATGCTCACAGTAATAATGGTCCTTATGTCACACGAACATTTTATATTCAGATCAAAGAAACGAGGCACCGAGTGTACATGAAGTCAAATTACATTAAATTCCTGGACTCAAAATGCAGTGGAATATCTGACTTCAAATGGACTTTTTTTAGGATGCTGGTTGACCTCAAAATTGTTGAGATGGTAAGAAATAAGAATAATAAGAAAAATTTGTTTTGCAATATCTTTATATATTGTCAACTAAGCTGTATTACACTTAGCAGTAGATGTCATGGCGGAGGTGCGTGTACAATTTACAAACATGTACCATAAAATAAGTTACGTTTCTAAGGCAGTCATCCCATTTTTACATCGCACATGCATGACTGATTCAGGGGCATAAGTAGAAAAAAATAATAAAATCAACATTTAACTGTAATTAGGTTAACTGTGGCGACTGCAAATTATGCAGTCGCCTGTGCACTGGAATTACGAATATGGGCAACATAATGGCTCACCGGTGTAGTCATCACTAGATGAAGTGCAAACGTGTGGATTCCCCGAAATACTTCAATTTCAATGAGAGCATCAGTAAAAACTTTACCCCACTTCTCTCTTTGTGATTTCCTCCTGCGGCCTGCGTCAGTCTCCCCCCAGTAAGAAGCGCAAGTTGGACAGAGTGCGGAAACCTCTTTCCTTCACCCTTCCCCACGTGGCTTTGAGGGAGCTCCAGATGAAGTCCCGTGGTCTGGACTGCACTGGCCGCCATCCTCTGGAAGCCATCACAACTCTTATGGAGAAGGCGCTAACGGAGCTGCGGGTCAGTTGTTCTTTCGTTTGAGCAGGCTGTTCTATTAAGTTTGGGGACTAAATTACACAGAAACTCCGATTTGAACATGGTTAAATAGCCACCCAATTTGTTTTAAATGCTTGTCCTCAGTAGGGACGCCGATGATCTGGATCCTATCTCAGGTGAGAGGCGGGCTACACCATGATCTGTTCCGGACTGAGCAGCCATTCACAGGGCACCTATGCACAAACAACCATTCGCACTGCCGCTTCCAAGTTACACCGACAGACAATTTGGAGTCCGCAATGAACTTGACATTACTTTCGGAATGTGGGAGGAAGCCAGTGTGTGCAGGGAAAATCCGTGCAAACTCAGCACAGGATGACCCGTACTGACGTTTGAACCGACATTTTAACCCAGGACCTCAGCACTCTTGAGGCAAATATGCTTACCGATACTTCACCATGCTTCCCATATAAACCATATTTCGGAAAGTCTATAAGGCCAAATTGGATGTTTTGCTTTTTTTAGTAGTTGGGCTGTAGAATAACAAATAATTGTTGACTAAAGCTTGCAAAATGTAAAATGACTGATGGGGATAAAATGTCAAAATTGGCAGAGGGCTGCAACACTTTCGGTTGTACTAGTTTATTACTAAAGCCAGATGGTCTCAAGAAAAAATTCCTACCAGTCTTCCGAATAAAAATAGATCCTTGAATCCAGTGAAAATACATCTTGTTTCTTCTTCTTGCAGGTGCTGCACAAGCGCGTTCCGTGCAGGGAGCAGGAGCAGCGCCTCCTCCTGACCGCGGTGGAAAACACTTGGATCCACGGTCGACAGAAGCGACGCGAACAAATGCGGCAGTTGCGAGAGCTGCCAAGAGCACATCACAGCACCGCGGCTGCCGCCACGACGCCCTCCCTCGCCCAAAACAGCCAGGAGGATGCCACTCATGAGTCAGCTGACCAGCAGGTAACTGCAGAGTCGATTGGCAACAGTGCCCCATCCGTCGAAAGCATGAAGGCTACCAAGGCCGCTGGTGAAATGAATCAAGAGCTCCTGGAAAAGGTTGCAGGTGAAGATGGGGAAATAATGCCTGAGTGCAGCTCTGCAGGGACATGTGGCCTGAAGGATGCCACTAGTGCCACAAGCGAGATGTCATCAAAACAACCAGCGAGCCCGGGGTCAGTGGAACACTTCCTGTTTAAATGTATGCTGAATGTGCTGCAGGAGGAGGGCGACGCAATGATTGAGATGCACTGGGTGGAAGGTCAGAATAAAGATCTGATGAACCAGCTGTGCACCTATCTGAGGAACACTCTTTTAAAGGCTGTTGCCAAATCATGAACAGAGAGAGCCGCAGTAGAGATCATGGATACAAAACTTGTATCTGAGATGATTTTGGCATGTTGAAACAATTGCAGCCCACAGTTTTGTACGTGAACCAGTGTGAGTCAGTGATTTAAATTTGTTGGACTTGACAGTTTACCTTTTTAGGTAATCACTGCTACTCATTTTATTTGACTTTATTGCCAAGCAGTGGGAATAAATGTGATTTTATAAAATGTCGGCTGCTCCGTGATGCTTTTCAGGATTTACACATGGATTACTATTCTCTTGGTTTTGATTAAAAAATAAAAACATGAATACGGGGTTAAGCGTTGGACCCAAAAATAAATGTACTATATCTTAAACATGAGTATGATTTATGTTGAACATTGCCCTTAGTTTTTCAGGAAATATATTCCTGACAGGTAGCACACTAAGTTTGTGATTGACACGTGTGCCTCACATCTCTGAGGTTGACCGTTTGAATCTTGCGTCTGATCTTGTGTACATGTGAGCATATTTTGTTCCTTGTGGTTGGGTGGGTCTTCTCTTGCTTCCTCGCACGTTCCAAAACCATGTTAGGTTAATTGAAAAGGCTGAAGTGTAGAGGTGTGAGTGTGAATGTTTGTCTACTACGTGCCCTGGGATTGACTGGAAAACAGTCCAAGTTGTACCCGGCTTCCTGTTCGAAGGACAAGGACAAGTGCTCCAGAAAATAGATGGATTTAATAGCCTGATATTATATGGCATATATTTGCCTGGTAATGACTTCTGTTTAATCAGAATTCGCTTCAAAACTTTCTAATAGTCTTTAGGAAATTTCCACAGTCTTCTGGTGACAGGTCACCAGTTCAAAACCTGCTATTGACGCTTCTTATTGCAGACTGCATTCGTGCAGGGGTCACCAACCTTTCTGAAACTTGAGAACTACTACTTGGGTAACCGTTTACTGCGAAGGGCTCATGTGAAATAACCAATTTGCTCAAATTGCCTTAATTAATATTGTATGTTATTCATAATTAATATTTAAATCGTTCGTGTGAAGACATTGGTGATTTCTAACAACTGAGAAGCAGATTTATCACATACAGCACTTTAGTTCTATAAATCGGTTTCCATTTTGAGATTATGATTTACACAACAATCCTGGGAAATCACAATGTCCTTTGTGATTGTGTGGACTGTGAAAGTGTTGGAGAAAACATAACAATAAACCGTATTAGTCAACAGGAATGGTGTTCATGTGTGTGTGCTAGAGGAAAAACAACTGGAAGTGGCTGCTCAGTAGATGCATGAGCTCTGTGTTGTTGGACCCGGCTATTTTAGCCTTTCCGGTATCAAATCAGTTGAGCAGAAGGATTGCCCTATATTTCTTTTCCTGTGATGCTCCTTTGCCTCGTCTTGCCTTCACGCGCATGTGTGTTGTTTTGACAGAGGCTTCTGCATGCACAGAAAGCAATGCATGGCTGACTCATTCAGCCCAGATGCATGTCTTCCTATGGATGTCAGCTATACGTGCATGTGCATGAGGCAGGCTCATTAATGTTACATGTGGTCTTAACACATACGTGGCGCGCATGCAACTGTGACCTACTTCGCCCTTTTACTACCAGGTCAATTCCAAATGTAATATACTGCTATAGACCAGTATACACATAACCATTTTATCCAGAGTTACAAAAAAACAATTAGCAAAATAGGGACCTGAGTGAGTAAAGCACCGAGATACACTGGTAAGGAGTTTTACAATTTCCCTGTGCTTGCGTACTGTTTCGAATGAGAAATGCTGCAAAGAAGAAGAAGAAAAACCTTTATTTGTCTCACAATGGAGAAATTCGCAAATGCTAACACACTAACAATTGTTATGCTGACATATAGCTTAGGTGCAGAAAGTCAGAGCAAGCGCATGGCAGGTGACATAGCAAGATGTCTGTCTTGGTACAAAAAGCGCTAATTGGCCATAAAGCAAGCGTCACCAACGGGCATGCGGGCACATGAGCCCTGTTCTAAAAATAGCTCAACATTGATGGGGCAATGTGATTTCCTCAAAATGCTACAATCATTGTTTGAATATTGGAACACTGGCAGAGATATATTGAATCAAAGTGTTACACATAAGGCTTGTCTCGTTCTAATGTGTTGGGTAGATTGCTTGCGTGCCTGTGTGTGGTGGGGTTAAAAAATATGGAATGCAAAGAATCTTTATTAAAACCGACAGATCAGAGAAGGCCCATTGTGAAGCCCCTAATTAATCATGGGAACATTTTGTAACTGTGTCTTCTGGGAACGTAAATTACTTAAAACCAAGTGCAATTATATTTAAATACAAGAGCAGGGACAATGTGGTGCCCTCCTACCGGCTGTAACATTTGGAACCTCTGCACAATCAGATTTCTTTTGAAACAAAAAAATAATAATAATAATGCTGTCTTTGAGTATTATTCAAGCATTGCTTATTATTGTAGCTGGTCGTGGTGGAGGACTACACTGCCTCAGACATGCTTCTAATTCTCCTGTCTGTAAACAATTGTGCTCTCGAGGACCACTAATACATCTTTCATTGACATTAAGAATGGCAATTACACACACAAAGTCATCAGGCATACGATAGAGACCCTGAGGTGTGCAAACTTGACTCTCATAACGGCAGCAACCCGTGAAGGTCACAGCCCACTCCTTCCCCGCTGCTGTTTGTAGGTCAGTCGGCCATACTGTCTGCTCTGTCACTGCAGACCCTGCGCCAGCTTGCAGAGCCCTTGTGAGTGACATGGAACGCACAGGCGCTGGCATGCGGGTGTGCAGGGAAGCGTTGCAGCACTAGTCATGTTGTCCCCAGATACGGTTGGCGAATGACCTCCAGCGCCATTGCAGTTTGACTTCAGAGGACAAGAGTAAGGAGCATTATTACAAGGCTCTGCAGGTCCAGCCGATGTGTTCACAGCTCCCTCTTGTGTCCATGAATCCAGTCATCCATTTTCTCACAACCACCACAGACATTCACTGCATTATGCTCACAGTAATAATGGTCCTTATGTCACACGAACATTTTATATTCAGATCAAAGAAACGAGGCACCGAGTGTACATGAAGTCAAATTACATTAAATTCCTGGACTCAAAATGCAGTGGAATATCTGACTTCAAATGGACTTTTTTTAGGATGCTGGTTGACCTCAAAATTGTTGAGATGGTAAGAAATAAGAATAATAAGAAAAATTTGTTTTGCAATATCTTTATATATTGTCAACTAAGCTGTATTACACTTAGCAGTAGATGTCATGGCGGAGGTGCGTGTACAATTTACAAACATGTACCATAAAATAAGTTACGTTTCTAAGGCAGTCATCCCATTTTTACATCGCACATGCATGACTGATTCAGGGGCATAAGTAGAAAAAAATAATAAAATCAACATTTAACTGTAATTAGGTTAACTGTGGCGACTGCAAATTATGCAGTCGCCTGTGCACTGGAATTACGAATATGGGCAACATAATGGCTCACCGGTGTAGTCATCACTAGATGAAGTGCAAACGTGTGGATTCCCCGAAATACTTCAATTTCAATGAGAGCATCAGTAAAAACTTTACCCCACTTCTCTCTTTGTGATTTCCTCCTGCGGCCTGCGTCAGTCTCCCCCCAGTAAGAAGCGCAAGTTGGACAGAGTGCGGAAACCTCTTTCCTTCACCCTTCCCCACGTGGCTTTGAGGGAGCTCCAGATGAAGTCCCGTGGTCTGGACTGCACTGGCCGCCATCCTCTGGAAGCCATCACAACTCTTATGGAGAAGGCGCTAACGGAGCTGCGGGTCAGTTGTTCTTTCGTTTGAGCAGGCTGTTCTATTAAGTTTGGGGACTAAATTACACAGAAACTCCGATTTGAACATGGTTAAATAGCCACCCAATTTGTTTTAAATGCTTGTCCTCAGTAGGGACGCCGATGATCTGGATCCTATCTCAGGTGAGAGGCGGGCTACACCATGATCTGTTCCGGACTGAGCAGCCATTCACAGGGCACCTATGCACAAACAACCATTCGCACTGCCGCTTCCAAGTTACACCGACAGACAATTTGGAGTCCGCAATGAACTTGACATTACTTTCGGAATGTGGGAGGAAGCCAGTGTGTGCAGGGAAAATCCGTGCAAACTCAGCACAGGATGACCCGTACTGACGTTTGAACCGACATTTTAACCCAGGACCTCAGCACTCTTGAGGCAAATATGCTTACCGATACTTCACCATGCTTCCCATATAAACCATATTTCGGAAAGTCTATAAGGCCAAATTGGATGTTTTGCTTTTTTTAGTAGTTGGGCTGTAGAATAACAAATAATTGTTGACTAAAGCTTGCAAAATGTAAAATGACTGATGGGGATAAAATGTCAAAATTGGCAGAGGGCTGCAACACTTTCGGTTGTACTAGTTTATTACTAAAGCCAGATGGTCTCAAGAAAAAATTCCTACCAGTCTTCCGAATAAAAATAGATCCTTGAATCCAGTGAAAATACATCTTGTTTCTTCTTCTTGCAGGTGCTGCACAAGCGCGTTCCGTGCAGGGAGCAGGAGCAGCGCCTCCTCCTGACCGCGGTGGAAAACACTTGGATCCACGGTCGACAGAAGCGACGCGAACAAATGCGGCAGTTGCGAGAGCTGCCAAGAGCACATCACAGCACCGCGGCTGCCGCCACGACGCCCTCCCTCGCCCAAAACAGCCAGGAGGATGCCACTCATGAGTCAGCTGACCAGCAGGTAACTGCAGAGTCGATTGGCAACAGTGCCCCATCCGTCGAAAGCATGAAGGCTACCAAGGCCGCTGGTGAAATGAATCAAGAGCTCCTGGAAAAGGTTGCAGGTGAAGATGGGGAAATAATGCCTGAGTGCAGCTCTGCAGGGACATGTGGCCTGAAGGATGCCACTAGTGCCACAAGCGAGATGTCATCAAAACAACCAGCGAGCCCGGGGTCAGTGGAACACTTCCTGTTTAAATGTATGCTGAATGTGCTGCAGGAGGAGGGCGACGCAATGATTGAGATGCACTGGGTGGAAGGTCAGAATAAAGATCTGATGAACCAGCTGTGCACCTATCTGAGGAACACTCTTTTAAAGGCTGTTGCCAAATCATGAACAGAGAGAGCCGCAGTAGAGATCATGGATACAAAACTTGTATCTGAGATGATTTTGGCATGTTGAAACAATTGCAGCCCACAGTTTTGTACGTGAACCAGTGTGAGTCAGTGATTTAAATTTGTTGGACTTGACAGTTTACCTTTTTAGGTAATCACTGCTACTCATTTTATTTGACTTTATTGCCAAGCAGTGGGAATAAATGTGATTTTATAAAATGTCGGCTGCTCCGTGATGCTTTTCAGGATTTACACATGGATTACTATTCTCTTGGTTTTGATTAAAAAATAAAAACATGAATACGGGGTTAAGCGTTGGACCCAAAAATAAATGTACTATATCTTAAACATGAGTATGATTTATGTTGAACATTGCCCTTAGTTTTTCAGGAAATATATTCCTGACAGGTAGCACACTAAGTTTGTGATTGACACGTGTGCCTCACATCTCTGAGGTTGACCGTTTGAATCTTGCGTCTGATCTTGTGTACACGTGAGCATGTTTTGTTCCTTGTGGTTGTGTGAGTCTTCTCTAGCGTCCTCGCACGTTCCAAAACCATGTTAGGTTAATTGAAAAGGCTGAAGTGTAGAGGTGTGAGTGTGAATGTTTGTCTACTACGTGCCCTGGGATTGACTGGAAAACAGTCCAAGTTGTACCCGGCTTCCTGTTCGAAGGACAAGGACAAGTGCTCCAGAAAATAGATGGATTTAATAGCCTGATATTATATGGCATATATTTGCCTGGTAATGACTTCTGTTTAATCAGAATTCGCTTCAAAACTTTCTAATAGTCTTTAGGAAATTTCCACAGTCTTCTGGTGACAGGTCACCAGTTCAAAACCTGCTGTTGACGCTTCTTATTGCAGACTGCATTCGTGCAGGGGTCACCAACCTTTCTGAAACTGAACTACTTCTTGGGTAACTGATTACTGCGAAGGGCTCGTGAAATAACCAATTTGCTCACATTACCTTAATATTGTATGTTATTCATAATTAATATTTAAATCGTTCGTGTGAAGACATTGGTGATTTCTAACAACTGAGAAGCAGATTTATCACATACAGCACTTTAGTTCTATAAATCGGTTTCCATTTTGAGATTATGATTTACACAACAATCCTGGGAAATCACAATGTCCTATCACTCGTGAGCTATTCGTGGTCCTTGAATGTAGATAATGTAAAGGGAACCTGAAATACTGGACAGTACATAGGCTTTAGAAAAACATTTCTCCGGATGCAAGTAGCTCTTCCATCTTCCACAAGAGGGAGCATATTTACAAATGTGCTGTGACTTTTCTCCCCTTCTTTGCTTCCTGTGACTGGCGCCAAATTGTGAATTGTTTTCGTTATGTTAGCCTTTCTCTCGGAAAAGTGAAGTCATGCAAACGTGGGCATCAAACGTTTTAGCTTTCCCCTTCTCTCTTTCTTTGGAGACGGGAAACGGGACAAAAATGCGGAGAATGTGCATGTGGGCGTGTGTGTGTGTGTGTGGTTTTTTTTGCTCTGAGTCCGTCATCCAAACATCACACAAGAAGGCATTTTGACGCGATCGAACCAGCCAAAGCGCCAATTACGTCACCATAGTTTCATGAACATCTTCAAACGTTACGCGAATATCCCCGAGTGTGACACAGATAGACGTTTCTGACACAACTTTTTGACGGCGTTCTCGCAATATTTTGTCAAAGGAGGTGGAATTCCAACAATAACCTTCACAAAAATAGTCGCTACAAAGCCTTTTGCGTGACATTGCACGAGCGATATGGCAGTTAGTATTCTTTGAATTGAAAACCTTCGTCGAGCACGTGGGGAAAGTCCCGTTGGCATGTCTAAAATACTTTTACTCGCAAGTACCTGACATTTTTGTTAAAATAAAATTTCCTTTCACAGATAGTCGCGTTACATTCTAGAAGCCATGCTCGTTAGCATCATTTGAAGATCTATGTGGAATACGTGCCAGGTCTTTCCTGAACATGTAAGCAAAGGCAATACTGTACATAACTCTGGGTTTGTGTGACATTTCGTGCTCATAATTTGTGGATGTTTTTCATCGTCATCAATCCCGTCCAGTACGCTGTCGCGCCGTGTTTTTGACGGCTCCCCGTGGCGTTGGGGTGAGTGGGCGGTTACTCGCCGCTGCGTGATTCACAAACCTTATTTGTTCCTACTACTTTGAGCGCCATCTTGTTCGCAACTTCTAGCCACTAGTTTGCACTCAAGGGGGTGTCCACTCCGGTTACCCCGTTCTTGCCCTCCATTGCGCGGGTATCTCGCTCTCGCTTGCTTTCACCCTTCAACTTCTCACGCGTTCGCTTACATTATCCCGCATCGCTTCTTTGTTTGCTTTTGGACTGGGAATCTTTCCAAGCGGACAGAAATGAGCATCGAAACGCTTCTGGAAGCTGCCAGGTTTTTGGAATTGCAAGCCCAGCAACAACAGAGAGCACGTGGTAAGAAGTTGTCTTTTTGCTGTCGTTCATATCTTCTTATTGGTTTAACTTGGTCCACCACGTGAGTTATACCTTCAAGTTTGTTTTGACGATTCACTCTCTTACCAATCATCGCTGACGCATGAATGCCGAATAGCACTAGAGTGCACTTTAAAAAAATGTTGTGTTTCTGCACAGGTAGTATATTTGAGTGTATGTGTACGAATATGTGGAGCTCTTGGGTTTTTCGTAGCACCGTCGCGGTGATCGTGAGAATGGGCGGTGTCACTGTTTAATACCCCGACGTCGCGTGGCTCACATTACGTTTTCCTGTCAGGTTTCCCCCTGCGGTGTCGACTGCGTGGCGCAGCGCGGGCTTTAAGACCAGCCTGCGCGCCACAGGCTGCAGCCTTTGACTGTTTGTATTTAGTGAAAATAAAAATAGCCTCCCGAGGGCGCCGTCTGCCGATGACGTGTACATCAGGACACGCCCATTTTACCACGTGCGCGCCGGGCAACCCCTCCCGAAGATTATTTATGAGCAGCAGATGCCTCACTACCGCACGGAGACGCGTTGCTACAAGCAAAGCTAGTAGACTGTTTCTCTTTTTTATGTGTGGAAATAATACGTTTTTGTTGTGATGATACGCTAATACAGTTCCCTTTGTTTTGATGCCCGTTTATCACACTAGCCCGCCCCCGAACCTTAAAGGGATATGGTTGGAAAAAAATAATGTTATACCACTGAGCCAAATCAAACGTATATACAGTGGTACCTTTTTGAATTAGGCGTTTTAAAGCTCACAACTCAAGCTTGTAACAAAATAATAATAATAAATTAAAAAGAACAAATTGGTCCACGCAAAGCAATATTTCTGTTGTATGAGTGGCAAAAAGTGGATCTGAGTTAATTGTCCCTTCTACCATCAAGTGAAAGAGCATTTAATTGTTTCACTAGTCACTGAAAATCGTTGGCTTAAATATCTGTACAGTAATCATCTACATTACTTGTAATAAATTTTCGGAGTGATAGTGAAATCGGATCCCATGGCCTACCTGATGATCTCTCACAGCACACGACCTCAGTTTGGAAATTACTTTAAATCTGTGCGTTTCAATTCCTTTCAATTTATAGAATCAACTCATGAATTAACATTTTTGGACCACTGCTGTGGTGTCTTGAGTTTTAAAGATTGTCACTGTTGACCAGGAACCCATGTCCAAATTCACCCCCCCCCTTCCCGCCTCCCCAAAATCTTTTTTATTTATCATTCCTCACATTGGTCTGTTGTTTTTACAAATTGCTGACTGACCAATCTTTAGTGTTGATAATGGTTTGCACTCTTGCAGTGTTCATGACTCAACAAATATGTTGTTTTCTTGATGCCCTAGAATCGTCATACCTCCAAAATCGTCACCTTTCAGGGTACCCCCAAACTGGCAGGCTTGCTCAACCATTAAGTTTGCATCGTCAAAGAGAGAAAAACAGTTTTGAAACTTGACATTGTTCAATATTTGTTTAACAGAAAGACACGTGGACTGACCAATAGTAAAAAAAATGGTGAAGAAATGTTTTGCTAAACTGTGGCATCGGAGAATTAAATCAATAAACTTGACTTGGTTTGGCCTGAGGCCATCGATTATTTTATTAATTTGTGACATTTCAGTTTGGAGCTCTGCGGTGAGATTTGTTTGTGAAGTATGTGCCGTGATTGAATAAGTTCTCTGAAACACTGATGTTGCCTGTTGGAGATGTTTACAGTCTTTCGAATCGCCTTGGAGTGAGTGCTTAACTTCTTCCACGTGGCTCCTCCCCCGCATTGCTCAATTTGGTTCGATGTCTTGCTGCTCCTCCTGCTGCTGCTGTTGCTCCTAGCTGCTGTGCAGCAGGTCACTGCATGTAGACAACTAGGCCAGTTTTGCTATGTGCTGCAGTTATGTAATAGCCCTTGTTTGGGAATGCCTTCAAGTGGTGCCACTCTTAGTTTGTAGCCTGTAGAAACATCTGCCATCAGACTTCTTTCTGCACAGCACTCCGAACGATGGACTTCTTACCATACAAAGGACATTTTTACCTTCGCTGCATTCATTTTTGTCTTTAACCAGATATAAAAGTGCGACTCGATGTGGGGGTCTGAATGTGACTTTTAGTCACCATGTTCCATGAATGACATCACGGATGCCATAGCAACAAGACCTTTCATCAAGATCTATACGTCACCGGCGACTTGCGTAGAATTGGATAGTGCTGCATTTAATATTCAAAAGTTCAATCTTTGCATACGGAAACACTGCATGTGCACACATGCCACACGAGCGTGTGTGTGTGTGTGTGTGTGTGTGTGTGTGTGTGTGTGTGTGTGTGTGTGTGTGTGTGTGTGTTCGTTCCAGTTGTGCAGTGTTGTGCTTATTATTGTGGCTTCAATGCATACACCCGACACAACACTGCTCATTGAAGCACGGTAGCGACTACAGATCAATTCATCAATTCAGTCACCTGATTTTTAACTGTAAAAATTACTCCCCTGTCCAACATTATTAATCACACCAGCTTAACTCATCAATTCACCTGCAGCTTCAGTATGGACTTTCATTTTCACCTAAGTGCTTTGCGTTGGCAAAATAATGCGATTATGGCTAATGGTATTGTGTAGGTCCAGTGGGTAGTAATTATGTTCAAGGATTCCAGGAGGCGGCAGAACTGTTTGCTGTACAGTCACGGGTTCCAATCTCAACTGAAAAAGGGATAGTTGGATAGGTTTCTGCAGTCTATCCATGAGTGAGGCGTTGGTACACTTTTAGAGGTGTTCAATTAAATGTTGTGACGTAACGTATGTGATGGGAAGTCTTGTGTTGGATGTTGTCCGCAGAGGATGAACTGAAAGAGAAGCTGCGCCTGGATCTGCTGACAGAGCAAAGACTCGCCGACGTGAACAAGTACAACTGCAGAGGCCACATCAACAATGTTTTTAAAGCAGAGGAGCTTATCACTGAGCGGCCCCCGGCCTCCATCCCGCCGTCCCTGCCTCGCCCCTCCATGCCCATCGCAGTCATCCCCATCCCGGTTGTCAAACCCAACCCCGCCGGCTCCCCTTCTCTCCCTGTGGCCTTGCTCTCCCACCCTGCTGCTCCCCCTGTAGCCTCCCCCAAAAGGGAGCCTCCTTCCCCTCAGGAACAAGGTGTCGTAGCTCCGCCGCGTTCCCCCCAACCCCAACCGCATGACCCGAACCACAAACTGCCGCCGCAGAACCATCAACAACACCCGACGCAGCTCCTCGCTCAAACCAACAGCACTCACACACAACAGCAGCAGACGCCCCAACAGCTCCTTCAGCGCTATCCAAGTTCCATCGTCTCACCCCCCCATCCGCCTGCAGCGCACCCCCAGACCCTACAGCCAACCCCCTTGGTGAACGGCCCCAGCAGTCGGGCGAGTCCTCCTGATGACGGGCGACTACTTGACCAAAAGAAACGACCCGGAGGGTAAGGCGATCAAATTGACCTTCAACTTGTTTGTGTATCGTCAGGAATGCATCCTGACACGCGGTTCTCAAATCAGCCTCCTCATGCTGGAATGTCAAAACCTGAATGTGTTCTGGTCTGTGCTCCGACAGGGCAGGTACCAGAGAAGTGCATAACAAGCTCGAGAAAAACCGGTGGGTTCAAGCGCCGCCAACAAAAATGCTCCCTTTTATTTCTCCCGTGTAATTGCACAACGTGGACGTTCCAAAAAAAGTGCACGAGTGGGCTGTTTCAAATGTGTGTGTGTGTGTGTGTGTGTGTCCATCAGACGAGCCCACTTGAAGGAGTGCTTTGAGACCCTGAAAAAGAACATCCCCAACATCGATGAAAAGAAAACCTCCAATTTAAGTGTGCTGAGAAGTGCTCTGAGATACATCCAGGTAGGAAGCAGGCTGACACTTGATTCCGATCCCGTTGTAACTGCGTTTGAAATGCCTAATGGCGGGCGATTGTTTCACTAATGAGCCTTTTCTGAACTCAAAGGCATTATAGCATAGCTTGTGTATGGACTACACAAAGTGACAACATTGGGCTACCGTCGTGCCTTTGTGTTGAAAGACGATTTCGAATGCCCACATCTTTCAAATGACCATGGAATTGCATACAAAACAAAAAGAAAACAATCTCTTTCTGTACTGGATTTAAATTGACTGACATGATGACATGCATGTTGTAATTTAACCTGCTCAAGAGGTCGGTACCACGACCGTACACACACCCAAGAGAGCATATAACAGCATCAGCTAAACCAAAGCACTTTACACAACATTTTACATAAAAGAATGCGCGTGTCCTCTTTCCTGCTAGATTTACTGTCCGCTGCTCAAAGGTTTAGCACCTTGTGTACATGACACACCTTACCCTGTAGTACTTGCGCCACTGCGTCACTCTTCTTTGCACAGCACACAATCTCGAAGAGCGTCTTTACAGGTGCGAGCCTGACAAGAATACATAATCTGAATCCCCAAATGATTCAAAACATCTGGAAATGGTTCCGTCAGAAGGAGGAAGTGACCGAGGCCTGTCCAGATCACATGCGATTTATTGCGCCACACAACATTCAGAAACTGGTTCAAAAGATGAGCTCTGACTTCAGCTGTAAAGGGCTCAACCTTTTTTTTTTTTTTTTTTTTTATTAAATTAGTACAGGTGTGTTGACGCTTGCCATTACTAAAAAAAACATCACGACTTTGTTACTAGTCTGTAAATGGTCCCGAACTATTTTTCAAAAATGTATCTGTCATGTTTATTTCCAAATTGTGCTTTGAATTCAACTCACTGGACACTTAATTACACCGGTGCGATCTAGCGAGACACTTTATCGACTGGCTTTGTATTGCACAGATTGAATTGAATTGAATTTGAATTGAATACAACTTTATTGTCAAATGTGCTGTATGAGATTTCTTCCCTCTCAACATAAAACGATAAAACGACTGTTCAGGTTTTATTTATTTTTTTGCTGAAATGGCGCGATTGGCGCTATTCAGGTATGTGTCAGGGCAGCGTCAGATCGAATCAGGCGAGCTTCCATCTACAGGAAAAGCTTAGATAATTATAGTCTAAATATTTTCAAATTAGAGGTGCGTTGATCATTACATACGCCTTATTTAAGTGAATGAAGTGGAAGAGTCAGCCTGCGGCAATTAAGCGTTATTCAATATTTGTAGCATAAATGTATTGTTGTGTTGTTTACATGCAATTAGGGTGTTTACACATGCCTGTTGCGTTCCTCTCTCTAGTTTCAGTTTCAAGCTGAGATACACGTTCTTCTTCATTTTCTTACAACCCCCCCTCCACACCACAAGCACCATCCAGCTCTCTGTCTTCAGGCAGTTGAAATGTTTCAGTCCACAAGCTGTTCCCATACATACTACAGAATAATGTGGCTTCTTGAGGGCTTGTGGAAAATAATCGTCTTTCGAAGAAGCCGGTTAACGCTCGATGCTGAATAGTTACAGTCTGACTGTCAATAATACAGAGGGAAAGTAGGCCAGGGTGAGTGCAGAGCTTTTTACCCTATCCCGCTGCCAATGGTGGAGCGTGACCTGCCTCCTCTTGAAAAAAAAAATGTCTCTGTGGGCACCGAGAAGTCCTTTTATATAAATAATAATGTTATTTTGCCAGAGACGTCTGAATGGTTGTTGTAACATTCCTACAGCAATCACAATGATGAAGCTGATGTAAGTGTAAATGCACATTGACTGTGGCGGAAATTTCCAACTCCCAAAAGGGAGCACAGGTGAGGTTTGACAAAGAGGCTTCAAGTTGAACATTTATGCTGTTGCCCATTCACCAATGAGAGGAGGCTTTTTTTTCCCCTTTCATTTTAAATATCTTCAGGGCAAGTCAGTCATGTGCTTGACATGTATTTTTAATTAATTTACGCGACATTCTTCATGCTCTTGCGAGTTACTCAACATCTTGTAGTCAACATCCAAGGCAAGAACAAGTGTGTGCAGTCAACTGAATTCTGCAGTGCTTCAGTTCATCCATGAGGAAAGGATTTTCAGACCAAGGTTTTTTTACATCGATGGCCCCAAATTAGCTTTTCTTTCATGCCATGTGAACCTACTCGTTGTGAGTCAATCGGTAGCTGTGCTCAACATCCGTCCCTCTGTCTTTTCTGAATGTCGGCCATGTAACAATGGCTGTGCGTGGAACAAGAAAACCGTATAGGCGGCCCCGTCGGAGCTGAAAACTAATCTCTAATGCAGTACGAGTCCTCCCACATGCCCCGCCCCTCCCTTGCGGGCCTCACTGAGCTTTTAAGGCCACATGAGCAGCGAGCACATGGCTAGCTCGAGCCGCCTGACGTCACCCGCCTGTGCTGCTCCTCCGCCCAGCGCTGCAGCAGACACGACTCGGGAGTACTCGCAGTTTGAGGCGCCAGATTCTGGACTGGTTGCTCGTGTGTTGCGGCGGCGCATTTACAAACATTCACTTTCACATTCAGAACCTAAAGTCCATGTACAGTCATTACGAATTGACCTAAGTAGATTTTTTTTGGGGGGGGGGGGTTGACAGACTACTTGGGAGGGGGATAGTGGGGGGACCCGGAAGCAAGGCTGGATTTGAGCCGAGAACTGAGTAGTGATGAATAGAAAGTCAAAAGTAAGTTAAAAAAACAAAAATTACGCAACAGTTGAACTGTCTACTATATCGCCACTGGATTGTCAGGTTTGGTGGAAACTGGGTAAAATCTGGATTATCAACGACCACATTTTAATCCAGTCGATATCAAAACAGTTCAAAAGGTTTCCGGCCAACACTGACTGCTCTCTGGAATTGTTCCTAATTGACAGAGGCCCCAATTCCAGCTGATCAAAAACAGCCCCAAGGCCACCTTCATGCTTAACTGTGTTTCTGCGCTTTCAGTGATGAGCAGTGTTGTTTTTGCCAAACATACCTTTTGGTTTTATAGCCATAAAGTTCATCCTTGGTTTTGTTAGACCATAATGTACTGTCTGACGTGTTGGGTGATTTTTTTTTTTCGACCCAGAGTCCACACTTGTGCAACCACTTCATCTGAGTTGTATAATTTTACTTCCCTTACTTCCCCTCTTGAAAATATGTCAATAGATTTATAGATATGTGTGTGTGTATATATATATATATATATATATATATA